TTGATGAATTATACTTGGAAAATAATGAGCCTTCTCAAACTCCTCAATTAGCAAAAGAATGGCAATCACCTAGAGGACTCTCAATGGACAACATCATAGGTGACATCTCAAAAGGGGTAAGAACTAGAAATATGACAAATTTCTGTATGTCTCGTTGCTTTTGTGTCACAGATTGAACCTAAAAACATTGAGGAAGCAGTTAAAGATGATCAATGGTGCATAGCCATGCAAGAAGAACTTAACCAATTTGAAAGGAATCAAGTCTGGGAATTAATCCCAAGAGAAGAGTCACATCAAGTTATTGGAACTAAATGGGTATTCATAAATAAGCTTGATGAAGATGGAAACATAACAAAGAATAAAGCCAGACTTGTTGCAAAAGGCTATTGTCGGGAGGAAGGTATAGATTATGATGAAACTTATGCCCTGTTGCTAGAATTTGCTAAGATAATGCAGGGAGAGTTTGAAATGTCTATGATGGGAGAATTGACATTCTTCCTTGGACTACAAATCAAGCAACTTAAAGATGGCATTTTCATCTCTCAAACCAAATACTGCAAAGAGATACTCAAAAAGTTTGGTATGGACACCTCAAAGGAAGCTAACACACCCATGGGAACTTCATGCTATCTAGACAAGGATGAATCAGGTTTGGAAGTTAATCAAACTATGTATAGAGGTATGATAGGATCAACTGTTATACTTAACTGCAAGTAGACCTGATATTATGCATTCCGTCCGTGTGTGTGCTAGATTTCGAGGCTTGTCCTAAAGAATCTCATCTAATTGCAGTGAAACACATTTTAAAATACTTAAAAGGAACTACTGGTTTTGGTTTGTGGTATCCGTCTGATGCTTATATGAGTTTAATAGGATATTCTGATGCTGATTATGGTGGATGTAAAATTGATAGGAAAAGTACTAGTGGGACATGTCATTTGTTAGGTTCATCCTTAATATCTTGGCATTCTAAGAAACAGGCATGTGTTGCTTTATCTACCACTGAAGCTGAATATATTGCAGCTGGTAGTTGTTGTGCTCAAATTCTGTGGATGAAACAACAGTTAGAAGATTATTGTATCTTTTTAAATGACATTCCATTGATGTGTGATAATACGAGTGCAATTAATTTAACTAAAAATCCAGTAATGCACTCTAGGACTAAACATATAGAAATAAGACATCACTTTTTAAGAGATCATATCAGCAAAGGAAACTGTAAAATAGAGTATGTAGATACCAAGCATCAATTAGCAGATATTTTTACTAAGCCTCTACCCAAGGATAGATTTTATGATCTTAGAAGAGACTTAGGAATATTAGACATTGCCTAAATTCTGCTTAAATAAACAGCTTTTGCATGATTGTAATGTTATATATCTCTTTGTCTGTAATGACGTTTCTTTATGAAATAAAATATGATGTTTCTTTAATGCTTTGATTGAGGGGGAGTTATCTCTAACTTATGCATATTTTGAGGGGGAGCTCTTATGATTGTTATTGCAGAGTTATTTTTTATTATAATCAAAATAGGGGGAGAAATATTTAAAGCCTACTATGATTGAATTTAAATATTATCTGGTATGTTTAATGTGTTTGTTAGTATGACAGATAAAACAGGTTATTACAAGGGCTTTAAAAGATAATTTTGATCATCATCAAAAAGGGGGAGATTGTTGAACATTCAAGGACTTGATGTTGCACTTGATGAACATGAAGATTGTTGATTTTGATGATGATTCAAGAACTCAAAGACTTAGAGTGTTGAAGACTTGTTTTGTAGTGTAATAACTCTGTTTTAATTAGATTGAGTCTGTAACTTTAGAGTTTGAGATAGCTGGTACATAGTCTGCAACTTAGAAGCTTCAAAAAGTCCAAATATATCATCCAGGCTCGGCTTTAATCGATTATATAGGGAAATAATCGATTAAAACAGTGAGAAAACCATTTTCTATATAAACTCACTGCTTTAATCGATTAAAATTCAAAATAATCGATTATTATGTCTGATAATCGATTAAAACGCCTAATAATCGATTAAAACGGAGAGGTTTTGGGTTCTGTTGTTTTTGGCTCTGTTTTAATCGATTATAACTCCATTTAATCGATTATTTCAGTCTGTTTTTGATTTTAAATTTCAAATTAACCCTATTTTCGAAATCCCAATTACCAAGAACCCTAGTTTCGAAATCCCCAATTCCTAAACCCTAATTTCTCTACTTAAACTCTTCTTTGGCACTCAGAAAAGAAGAACAACCTTTTCCATACAAAAGTTAAGTGCTGTGAGTGCCAGAGAACTGTTTGTTGCAAGGAAAGGGGGCTTTTGGAACCTGGTGTGGGCTAGAAGCGATAAGAATCACTAAGTGGAGTTCTTAGTGGATTGTGTGCTATGCCGTCTCTAGGGAAAGTTGTTCATCATCTCTTGTGGATTTCAAGAGAGGTGTTTTTTTATCTTTATCTTTTCAATTGTAATCTGTTTGTAACAACTTGTTTATAGTGACAGCGTTAATCCTCTGTTTGAGTGATTAGCAACTGAACGTAGGGTCTTTTGATCCGAACCAGTATAAATCTCCTGTGTAAGATTCTCTTCTCTTCTTTATTTACATTTACACAGTTTTTAATCGGTAAAATTTGGGGAAAATTTTGAAAACCTAATTTTTATTAAGAAACCAATTCACCCCCCCTCTTGGTTTTTGTCCGACCACGCGACCATTCCGCTGCGCGATTCTAACAATACCAATTAATCCAGACTGTCTTAGGGATTCAACTATATTATTATATGCTTGGGTTGTCCAACTACCATCAACCCGATTACCCAACCTTGCCTCATGAAGCATAGCAGTCAACAACCGAAAGTCCATGTCATCAGTCCATTTTGTAAACTCGCGCACTACAGTTGACGAATTCGGTGCAATATCCTTTCCTCTGTTCATTTTAAACCTATTGGAAAGATAATATATGTAATTACGATACCAACATATAATTATTATAAATAGATAATCGTAATGTAATCGTATTTCAACAATAACAATAGTACATCTCATTAAATATATTGTTACATACAAAATCTAATGACTTTGATAATCTATCCACATTTGATTTGCTATAGTATCTCTTAAGTTTGACCCTTCCCTATAATCCTCTTCCCGAACTTGAGTCGACATATTATCCACATCTTGTTCCATCAACTCTCGATCCACTTCAGCTAACAGTGATTCATCGTTGTCTATCCCTCAAAGAAAATTGTGTAGAATGCAACATGCTAGGACTATATTCGTCATTGTATCAAATGAATAATGAGGCTCTGTTCCACTAGCTATTATAGGAAATCTTTTCTTCAAAACTCCAAATGTTCTTTCAATTACATTTCTAAGAGACGAATGTCGATGGTTAAACAATTCTCGGGGGTTTTGTGGAGCTCGTTGAGAATACTCTTTAAGGTGGTATCTAATGCCTCGATAAGGGGTCATTATGTTTGCTTTTAACATAAATCCAGCATCCCCCAAGTAGTATTTACCTATTTAAAATCATTGAAGTTATACTAATTAGAATATTTAAACTAGTTGACTATACACAAAATCCCACGTTATAAATAATAAACCTTGTGGTATGATAAGGCGATCCTCTCTCGTAAGAACATCCTTTAATATTCTTGAATCAGATGTTGTTCCTTCCCACCCTACTAGAACATATGTGAATTTCATGTCGAAATCACAAGCTGCAAATACGTTTTGTGTTGGCCAATCTTTTCTTCCACGAAAACGAGGGGCATCGGATCTTGCGACTTTAACTCGAACATGAGTTCCATCTATTGCCCCTAAACAATCCTAATTGGTAAAAAAATTTATTGTCATTAAAGTTTAGACAATCTATGTGTATGTTATATAGACACAAAGTTGGTAAGTAGATTACCTTAAAGTATGGGTAAAATCGGTTGTTGTTTAATATATACGGACACACATCCCTTCTTGATGGTTGAACAATTAATTGTTCCTCCAAAATTATTATCGCATTCAACACGTTATGAAAGTGTCAACTAACGGTTTCACCTGATCGGTGGAAAAAAAATGAAACAGTTCGATTTTTAACGTTATGTCCGATAATATGGAGAAATTTAGCCACTTGTTCTTCCACTTTTGATTATAACCTATCATTTACTAATCCAGTTGTCCTTACTCGTTGACACAAGTTAATGAACGCCTCCGGTCCCATGCGAATAATGTCATGAGATTGTTCAGTATGAATAAGGTATGACATCAACTCGTGCTGACGACGTTCTTTTTCAAAAATAAAGTCCCTAATGTTACCGCTACTACAAGTTACCATAGACAACATATTTAATCCATAAGCTATCAAACAAAGAATTGTCATTGGTCCTACTTCGCTTCGCTTTTTTATCTCACTTTGTATATGTGAAATTATGTTTATATCCAGCATCAGGTATCTATATCGTCATTGTCTAAACCAATGAACTCGATGTTTTTGTCTCGCCATCTGCAAATATATATATATATATATATATATATATATATATATATATATAATTAATGTTTAATGGAAGTAATTCAAAATTGCCATCTGCAAACCAAGTATCACAAAACCAAAAATTATTTACAAAACTACTAATAATTTTTTTCCTCTAATATTTTTACTTCTTTTTTAACAAATTCTCATTTTTATAAATTTTTTTCTTTTCTCAATTTTACATACTCCATTTGTTATAAAAATAATAAATTTATTTTTCAAATACAACTATATTTAACTTTTTTTTCCTTATTTAATTATGCATTAATAATGTCTCGTCCTAATTTTTACTAATTTTTTTTCATGTATCTCTCAATTATTTTTTTCTTTTCCGTATATATAAAAAAATTCAAAATTTCCATATAATAATTATAATTGCAAAAACAGGGATTTTGGTTCCAGTTTTTCGTTCCAATTTTTGCTTCCATCATTCCCAGTTTTTGCTTTCAAGATGCATATGCAGTAGCTACCAATTTTTACCTCAACCATGCATGGAGTACAACAGCGAGTAGAACCAGTTTCAGGTTGCAACCATGGAAAACAACATATGAACCATACCTGTGGGAGAAGATATGAACGAAGCTCTTTGTAGGACAAGCTGACGGCGAACTTGACGGTGCCCCTAAGATACAGCCTGCAACAACAACATAACCAATGCACAAGTCAGAAACCATGGTCGTATGGTGCCCATTTTTTGTTGGAGTGGAGGAGGTTTGGCCATGTTTTATACCTCAAATCTGAATGGTCACACACACTTTTATGCATGCACACAGACTCCAAAAACAAACGTACCAACCAAGTTTGAGGTTCCAACCATGACAGAGAAGACACAGAACCATACCTGGGGTGTTCCTCCGACAAGATACCAAGCAAGCTGTTGGTGGGACAAGATCACACCGAAGTTGATGGCCGCCGGCGAAGATCCAACCAACAACACAAATACAAACAAATGAATCTCACGTATGACAAACCATGGATCCACGTTTATGGGGCTCCAAACAGGGGCACAACCACAAGGCCCACCCTCGCCGCCTGAGATGGCCATGCAGAGGTTGTCGTGGAGCTGTTTTTTGGCTCCTACCATGCGCCACGCAGAGATTATTGTCGCCATCCATAGCTGATTGTGGAGGGGGATTATGGACCTCTTCTCATGCATGCATGCCCACCATGGCGGCCGGAGAGGTGCCCATCGGAGGAGAGTTTGGCGCCAGAATGACGAGGCAGTCATGGTTGAAAGGAAAGGAGACGCTTACCTATGGTTCCAAGGAGCTCTAACAAAGACAGAAGTTAGAGAAGACGAGGATCTTAAACACGCTCACGAAGGCAACTCAAAATTCAGTGCAACTGACAGGAGCTAACTGAGAACACGACTCACAAGGGTTAATTGAGAACATAGTAGGGTGTTGTTCCCTTTCCCGGAAGAAAGAGAAAGATCCCAAGAAAAAGGAAGTAGGCTTCGGTTCAATCTGGGATCAAACTATCCTCTTTTCTTTGACTATGTCAAGCCACTTCTCTGATTGGTGGGAGACTCTTGTGAAGTAAAGAATGTTTCTGAACCGAAGTCCCACTCCAAGCTTTGGCATATGGAATAGAGTCTTTGCTAGTTTTATGAGACTAGCTTTGCTTTATATAACACAATAACTTTCCCTATCAGCTGTAACTAGAGAAGAAAGAATAAGTCGTATAACTACGGGCTTTGGTTCAAGTTCTATCAATTGTGAACACGTGAAGCTGTGAACACGTGAAGTTGGTTGTACAGCCCGTGACCTCTGCATGTACAGCCCGTGACTTCTGTTCATGACTTACCTCATTCTCTCATGTTATTCATGCATGTTCTTCTGCTCCAAGGTCAGGTGCATCCAAAGGAGGAAATTTTTTCTATAGTGGCACGTATTTATTTTTTAATTACTCAAATAGCATACTGTATGTTTTATTTATCAATATAGCACGGTTTTTTGTTAAGTTGAGAATTCGATTTTCTGAAAGACGAAATCTGAACGTAGATTTGTATTTTTTTTTTAAACCAGTTAAAATTCGATCTTTCAAGCAACCGAATTGTGAACTAGTTTTATTTTTTTTGTTATAAAAGAAAAACTAACTAATATATATATATATATATATATATATATATAAGTTATAATGTTTTATTTAAAATTTATAGAATCAAATTAAAATTTTCAAAAGATTTATATATTTTTTAAATTAATAATATATTTAGATTTATTGTTGAAAGTAGTAAAATAATACTTTTAAAATATATTATTAAATATTATATTTATATTTTATTTGTATGGTAAATTTTTTTTAATTTTTTTATCTATTTGATATTAGAATATTTTTTTTAGAAATGAATAATAAACTAGGAGGATAATAAAAATCTTAAAAATTATATGTATATAAGATGAAATAATATTTTGATGTAAAATTATATTTTTGAAATGTATTTTTTTTCTTATGTTTTTGTAATATTTTGAATGATATATATATATATATATATATTAAATATAATTTATAAGATTAAAAAAATCATATTTATAATTATAACTTTTAAAAAAATTATAACTATAAAATTAATGTTAAATAAATTATATATATTATATAAATTATAATTATATATAGATATATTACTTAAATTAAAAACCTTAAATTAATTATATATATATAAATATATATTTTTTAAATTAATAATATATTTAGATTTATTGTTGAAAGTAGTAAAATAATATTTTTAAAATATATTAATAAATATTATATTTATATTTTATTTGTATGGTTAATTTTTTTAATTTTTGTATTTATTTGATATTATAATATTTTTTTAGAAATGAATAATAAACTAGGAGGATAATAAAAATCTTAAAAATTATATATATATATATATAATTTTACATCAAAATATTATTTCTTCTTATATACATATAATTTTTAAGATTTTTATTATCCTCCTAATTTATTATTAATTTTAAAAAAAATTATAATATCAAATAAATCAGAAAATTAAAAAAATTTAATCATACAAATAAATTTAAATATAATATTTAATAATTATGACGAGAATGAGGGAGGGGCAACTTCGTCTTTTCCCTTTTTCGACGTGACTTTCCTCTTCTTTCTTCCCATATGAGAGAGGGAGGAGCTTGAAAGGAATCCTGTCTTTCTCTTCTTTTTATTCTCGCACAAATCTATTTATTCAAACACAACTTCTCCTTCTTTTCCGTCCGTGTAAATAGTCTTTCGTTTCAATCAAACAGGGCATTAAAGTTTCTCTTATTTATTTATTTTTTAACTTTTCTCTAAGTAATGTCTTTGTGAAATATATGCAAGTTGACAAGTGAACTTACAAAACTCAAAATTCACTTCTCTTTCTTCAATTGTTTCTCTAATAAAATGATGTTTGATCACAATATACTTTGTTCTTCAATAGTAGACTAGATTTTTACCCATAATGATTTATTATCACAATAAATAACTAAAACATTATGTTTCACACCAAAATATTCTAGCATTTTCTTTAACCAAATTACTTGTTGGATTGCTAAGTCTGTTGTAATATATTTAGCTTCTACGTAAGATTAAGATATAACTTGTTGCTTCTTTGCACATCATCGAAATACATATGATCCAAGTGAAAAAACATATCCATACCTACTCAATCACTATCTCAAAAATCAAGTAACATTGTTTCAACTTTGTTGTCACATATTTTACTCTATAAGTTACATCGCCTTGAATGTATCTTAACACCATTTTTTGCTACACCTAGACAAATATGGCTTGGTTCACTCATGAACCAAAGAGTAAGCTAGTTACAAACATTATATCAGACCTTGAATTAGTAAGATAAAATAAGTTACCAATTAAGCTTCTATAGTTGTTGGTATCAACTTTTCTTCCTCCATCTTCTTTCTTAAACTTTTCATTCACAACTAGTGGTGTATCAGTTGGATTACACTCAAACATTATAAACTTCTTCAATATATTTCAGCATATTTCTTTTCACAAAGAAAAACTTCATCTTTCTCTTGATAAATTTCTAACCCAAGAAAATGATGTAATAAGCTTAAATTGTTCATCTCATATCTTTCCATATTTTCTTTTCTATAATCTTCAAACAACGTCAAATTATTTTCAATATATATCAAATCATTCATATGTATTGAAACAATTAAAATATTGTTCATACCTTGTTGTTTGAAATACAAGATAGGTTCATTCTTGCTCTTCTTAAAGCCTTTCTTTATAAAATAATTATCAATATTGTTGTACCATGTTTGGAGCTTGCTTCAACCCATAAAGAACTTACTTCAATTTATAAGCCTTTTCTTCTTGGTCTTCTATCACAAAGCTTTAAGGTTGCTTAACATATACCTCTTCTTTCAATTCATCATTAAAAAAAATGGTCACTTCACATCTAGTTGAAATAATTTTCACCCTTTTAACAATAAAAGAGAAATCATAGCTCTAATGTGCCACAGGAGTACAAGTCTCCTCAAAATCAAAATCAGGCTATTGTGAATAGTCCTTTTCAACAAGTCTTGTTTTATTCTTTTGGATTGTGTCATCTCATGCTTTACCTTTTACACCTATTTCGCACTAATAGATTATTTATTATTTGCCTTCTCAATTAGCTTCCATGTCTTATTCTTTTCAATTACATGATTTTCTTCTTGCATGACCTTCTTCCAAGTTTCTTCTTTAATTGCCTCTTCAAAATTTTCTAGTTCTACAACATAGTAATTGCATCTTGTATAAATATCACTCAAACTTCTTATGTTTAGGATTAATTCCTCATTTTTAGTTGTTGAATTCTATTGCAAAATTATTGAAATTATCTTGTTTTCCCCCTTTTCTTCTTGTCAATTCTAGAAAACATTTTCATCAAACTTGACATCTTGACTAATAATCACCTTCTTAGTCTTCAATTGTAAAGCATGTAGCCCTTTAAAATGGAACTATAACAAATAAATATACATCTTACAATTGATTCTTCAAGCTTTGTTTAGGAACTTAAACATAGCAAACATATTAAAAAAACATTTAAATGGTTTATTGAAGGTTTTCTTGCACTTCATACTTCAAATGGTGTCATGTTCCAACAACTTTTGTTAGACATATGTTCAACAAGTATATTGTTGTATTAACAACCTCTCGTCCAAAATTCTTCGAGCATCTTGTTTTCAAACAACATGGATTTTCCCATCTTCATCACAATTTGATTCTTTCTCTCGGATATACCATTTTGTTGAAGTGGTCAACATTCAATTATCTTTCTATTTTTTCATCTTCACAAAATTTTGTGAATTCATGTGATTGATACTCCTTTTTTTCTATCACTTCACAAGATTTTTATAAACATGTCACTTTATTTCTCAACAAATACTTTAAATTTCTTAAATACTTCAATTTTTTTTGCTCATAAAATATACATGTCATGTGAGTTAAATCATTAATAAATAAAATAAAATAAAATGCTTGTTCTAACCATGAGAAAAGGTACTCATCGGACTACATATATCTGTTACATAATTTCTAACACTTATTTGACTCTCTTTGCTCCTTTTGAAAATGGTTGACTATCATGTTTGCCAAGCATAACCATTCATATCATGTTTGCCCAATTTTTGGCAACATAAGACTCTTATAATTTAACTTCCCAAGTTTTATGTCATAAAACAATTAAGGGTGTCAAAATAGGTTTAGTCCGATGGGTATACTTGAAAAATAATATAGGTTAGACTAAAAATTTTGTGGCCTAAACTAATCAAGTTTATTTTGTCCTAACCCGTTTAGATCATGACTTACATAGACTTAGATCAAGTTAGCCCTGAGGTTTATAAGTCAACTCATTTTATACAATAATAATAATTTTTTAAATAAAAATAAAAGTAATATCATTATATATATATATATATATATATATTAATCTTATAATTTATATCATTATATTTAAAATAAAAATTAATTTCATTAATATAAAAATTAACTCTTATTCCATGTTTTAATTAATTATTTTTATATACACATGTGAATTGTGACGTCCTTTTTTTTTATCATGTTGTTAATCATATTTTAAGAGATTACTACTTTCTATTAAGTCTTGACAAGTAATATATGAGATAAATGTTTATACATTTATATGCATAAAGATGTGAGTTTTACAAGTTTACATTTTTTATATCAGAAATAATTATTACAATTGACAAAAAAAAAATTCTTCCAACATTGGTT